CTCTCCTGCCCCTGTCCCCTCTCTTGCCCCATCCCCTCCTCTGCCCCTGTCCCCTCTCCTGCCCCTGTTCCCTGTTCCTGACCTTGTCCCCTCTCTTGCCCCATCCCCTCCTCCGCCCCTGTCCCCTCCCCTGCCGCTGGGCTGGAGGCACCGAGCCGCTCCCGGCCGATGGAGCAGCGCCTGGCAGCACCAGGAGCGGGCTGGCAGCCGCCGGGGGAGATGCCGGGGCAGGGCAGCACTGCCTGAGATCACACGGGGAGGCTCAAAAAGGGTGTTGCCCCTGGCATGGGAATTCTTTGTGGCTTTTCGGGGTCTTTTGCAGCTCCTGGTGCTGCTCACAGCCCTTTGGGGCCACCTAGAGAGGATGGGATAGCCCCAGGGAGCAGGAGCAGGACTAATCCCACGTCCAGATCCCACACACCACAGCTGAGAAGCCACCAGCATCTCTGCTTGCCTCCCAGGCTTGGAAGCAAAGCCAAGCGCAGGCTCTGCTGGGGCTCAGCCCAGCACCCCTCTGTCCCCAGTGAGCCCAGCCCCACAGGAGGGCACAGGGCCGGGTCCCACCAGCCCGGGTGAAGGATGTCACCCTGGGAGCAGCCCCTGGCCATGGGAACAGGAGGAGCAGCCCCTGGCCCATCCTGGCCCGTTTTTAGCAGCTGCTATGAATAACCCAGACCAGACTCCTCGTGCCTCCACAGGTAAAGGCAGTCCAGGCCCAGGGACAGGTCTGGCACAAAGCACCCATGAGGCCCCTCTGGCCCAGCTCTCCAGCACCTGAGTCCTCCAAGAGTCTCTGATTAAGGAAAATCCCTGCCCCATCATCTTTCCTGCTGGGAAATCAATTACTTAAAATGTCTCTACAGAGCACTGATTTATTTGCTTCTTAAATGTTGGCCACTCAGCTAAGAATGACTCCTTTTTGCTGTGACACTGTGGCAGCAGCTCTGTGGCCACAGAGAGACACAGACCTTTCCCAGGCCTTTCTGGGAAAGGCTGTGAGAAGATCAGAGGAAAGAATGATAAATAATTATTATCTTCACTTTCTGCACCTATTATTGTAAACCTGTGGAATGTGTTATGGAGATTTGTTTACCAAAAGGTGGTTTCTTAATTAGCCAGTGATGATGGTGCTTTACTTAAAAGACCAATTATGTCCAGGTGTACCAAAAGCAATGGGCTTCTTAATAATGCTATAATAATAAAGAGATTGATCAGCCTTCTGTGAATCATGGAGTCAATGCCAATCATCACCTGGCCATGCCCGCTGCTGTGAGGTGACACAGGTGAGCTGCAGCTCTGGGGCCCTGCCCACGGCGTGTCCTGGATGAGCACCTCAGCCCCCAGGTCCTGCACCAGGATTTGCCAGCAGGGAGCTGGGAGCAGCTCCCGGCTCAGGAGTGCCCAGGCTACCCTTGGAGAGAAATTCAGTTCCCTCTGATATTTTTACTGCTGAGGGCACACAGAGGAATCAGGCACCAAAAGAACAGGGCAGGTTTGGGAGCTCCAGGGATGCTGTGTGGGGTTCTGTGTAACAGGACAGTGGGGGGCAGGTCCTGTCTGAGGCTGCTGGAAAAGTCACCTCATCCAGACACTTCATTCTGGCCAGAAAATAACCTCCCATGGGCTGGGGAAGAGAGGGGGAGGACATTCTTGCCTCTGGGAGACACAGGCCCTTGGGATCTCCCCCCACCTGCCTGACCCAGGTCCAGCTTCTCCCTCCCTAAGTAATTTATTTTTCTGGGGGATCACCTGCGAACCTGGAGCCCCTGGTGCTCTGGGGGGCACCTGCAGCCCTGGAGTTTCCCAGGGAACCAGGCCAGAGAGATGCAGCCCCCCCAGGCACATGGGGCTGCGTGGCTGAGGACGGGCACA